CAAGCTTCGCAAAGTTTCTTTGTAGCCCGTCCTACGCGGTACCCTTTATCTCTGCCGTTGGTTGCCACATTGAGATATGTGCTAGCACAGTATGTTAACAGCAGCAGCAGAGTGATTAGTAAGGCTAGATGAACAGTGGATTTGATTCCCTCGTAGGTCTACAGCTATACACCCATCGCTGTCGCCGGTCACGTCCCCCACTTGGTTGCCAGCCCAGCGCTGTCCCAGTATTATAATCTAGCCTGTTGTCGTTCGTGGAGAGGTCCGTTGTGCTGCTGCTGCCCAGTATTATAATCTAGCCCAGCGCTGTCGTCGTTCGTGGAGAGGTCTACAGGAACAGGAGTGCGCGGCCGTTGTGCTGCTGCTGCCGTGCCGGCACCTCTGCCTGTGCGCGCCGTCCCCGGCATGCGGAAGCGCCAAGAGGTCTGCACCGGCCTGAGCCGCAGCGGCAGCAGCAGCGTTGACGACGCCGCCAACGCCTTGCTCCGCCCCCGCCTCCTTTTCAGCACCTCCGCATGTGAATCCCTCCTCCGCCCCGGCGGTGGTGATTTTCCCCAAGCTATTGTAACTACTAGGAGGATCGTCTAGGTCCAAAACCATGCCGGGTGTGTCCTCATTCATGCCGGAGGGGGAAGACGAGAGTTGTGGAAGAGGAGAGCTGCGCACGAGAACAGAGGCTTCGGTCGGGGGGGAAGGAATAAAAAGGTGAGACGGGCCAGGTGTAGCGGCGCAGGTCGGGTAATGTCGTGAACAGTGGCCTAATAAGGCCAGCCCATCGTTAGAAAAATCATAGACCTAGCGCCAGAAGATTAAGGCATAAGCCTCTGTCCCCATCTGCTGTGCGCACACATCTCGATGAACATGGGAAAGATTGGAAGGCTGAGATAGAGGGTACCACGTAGCCCCAGCTAGGAAAAACCGCTCTCAGCTTCAAGCTTTATTAGTTTTAATTGGTGTACTGATATGTGAAGAAAAAAAGGAAAACTACTTAAGAACGAAGGTAAAAAAAATAAATTGGTGGAGACGATTCTATTCAAACTACCTACTTGCAAATTCTAATAGTGGCTTCAAGTATTTTGTGAATTTCGCAAAATAGCTAGCCCGTGCAGTAGCACGGGTTGACGACTAGTTCCTTCTAACCTGAGTAGACGATCAGCAACTATTTCAGCCGTCCTCTTCCTGATAGGAAGAGGTTCAGCACCATCGGCCACATTAGCTTTACCAAGAACAGCGTCCATATATTTCTTTCACAGTTTCAGAACACTCATAAGTTGGAGCAGCAATCATGGCGTCAAAAAACCATGTAGGCGGAGACCTGCGATGTGATCTGACACCTCCGTCTACTCCGCCGCAAGAATCCCAAGGCCGGGCGGACGGACCAGCCGTCCCCTTATTCAGCCAGAGGGGTGGCACGAGGAGACCGCCGGGGATCATGTGCCGCGCGGACAGGGTAGGGGGGAACTCAACGACGGCAGGGCCGCTGGACCGGAGTAATGAAAAGTTGAAAACCCTAGTCGCCATGGCAACGGGTATCGATACGTTCCGAGGTGTAGTACTAGGGCATCTCAGTTCAGAAGACGCCTCACCCTAGATCTGAAGAGCACCAACCAGAGAACCTTAGATCAGAATCCTTCAGCAATATACGAGGCACGTCCAATCCACGCAATCAATCTGCTCAAGGACTCGATGAGAAAAACTCCAGGCCGGCCGAGCGACAGGAGGAAAGAACCCTACAGGAGGGGAGTTGAGGACGACACCATGCCGCAAAGCGCAGGGGCCGGAAGAAACAGCGGTGGCCGGCGACCGCTGACCTAGGTTGCCTCGCGAGTCGCGAGAGCTAGCTCTTTCCGTTTGGTGAAAACACGCCGCAAGATAATCGATTCGTTCCCCACACGGTGATTAGTACCACCTTGCTAGATGACCAGCACACGCACCAGCTTACATACCCAGCACTCGTCCCTCGCTACTGCCGAGCGTGGCAGCGCGCGCTTGTGACTCCAGCTTACGGAGGGCTAAAGAGTTGGTGGTTGTGATTCTGTGAAGCCCGTGGCAAAAAGAAGGGTTGCGCCCCCTCCTCCTTGGCCTAGGCGTAGAGGATGTCCTACGCCCTAGGCATTCAGGCTTGTTGCCCGCTGTGGGAACTTCCCCAGCCGTAGCCTACCGTGTGCTGCTAGATAGAGTGCTTTCGTGATGCACATGGGCTCGCTCACTCAACTCCATATACCAGCTCTTTTTATTAATTTTAATTTATATTGACGCGAGGATGGTAATTTTAGTCTGCAAGCATGACAGTTTTCCTGCCAAAAACACACTGAAAGGGATTTGCCATGGAAGCAACTGGCACGCTAATCTCAGCAACCTAGGTTATAGAGTTATAGGCGAGCCACCACCGTCACTCGAGCCATCGTCTTCATCCTTGAAGAAGGGGAATTGGTCATTGGGGTTGATGTGTGGGCGCGATAGTCACGATGCTTGAGCTTGATAACAACGATGGCGTTGCCAGGCAGCTGCGTAGCCAAGTCAGGAGGGGGTGTGGAGACACGAGCCACCATGACCATCGTGCGGACGATGGTGTGCTCACCATCATAACAGTACTGGTCGGCCGCACAGAAATCACCGAGGTACGAGAAGAAGTACTCCGCACCGTCGGCCCTCCGGTAGCCAGAGTTCACCGGAAAAGTCGATGGCTTCATTTTGGCCATGTCCTCGAAGAGAGTGACGGAGCGGTTGTCTGCGTTCTCCATGAGCTGGAAGAAGAGGGTGTTGCCCTCGTGGTGGATTGCGTTGTGGCTGGTGATGCGGTAGCGCTTGTTGGCTTTGGGAAAGGTGGGCAGCGTGGGCCACCGCCCGCGGGTTGATGAAGAGACGGCGAATGTCAGAGAGCCACGGTGGGTGTCGATGGCGTCGCGGAAGAAAACAGAAGGTGTGGAGCATGGCCACCTTCAGGAGGACATAGGAGAGGTTTGGAACCTCGCGCACGAGGCACTTGGAGGCGGTGGAGCCTATTTCGGAGGAAAATATTGATCAGCCTATGCTTTCTGTACATGTGCCTTCCAAGGAAAGAAGCAAGGTTTCATATCCAGTGATAAATTGATCACCGTGCACGCACGCACACGGACGCCTACATGTTCTGAATGTTTCTGGAGAAAATGGTTGCAGAATGTGCGGCCTTAACGTTTACATACAGAAGCAAGGAACTCGATTTCCATGTTTCAGCCTGTAACCTTTTTTGACTTGGTATGATTATATCAAAATCTTGAATTGTTATGAAAAGGTAGATATATTCACCTCCATGTCCATCAGGTTCGTCAACCATGTAGGAGGTAGCTGCTAAACATGCAGACTGCAATCAGGGCTCCAATTCAAATACCAGTGACACGCAAGTTCAGAAAAAGACGCAGTGACAGGAATTTGAAGGGCGGCTGCACATACGTGTCAAACGAACAAATGTAAAAGGAAGCAGTTCAAACATACAGCCAAAGTGGGTTTGCACTTTGAATGAAATGGAATCCTATATATATCGCAGAGCACAAGTTGTTTACTTCATGTACTGTGTGACCGGAGGATGGTTTTGATGTGCAGAGAAGTGTCATCTTCAGAAGAGCAGGCTGAAACCTGAACTTGCAAGACTGTGGTAGCTTGAAGAGCACAACAGACAGACACAGTAAGCCTCCATCTTGATGAATCTCTCTGATTTCATTACAAAGTAGGATTACAGTTCTATTACAGGCTCATGAACATATTCAGTTTCAACCATTCATAACCGGGGGACAGCCTGATGCCTCCTCCGCTCCGTACTCGGTCACCACTGTAACGAGTTGCTAGATGCTACCTGAAGGTGAAGACACCGAGGATGATGATTCTCTTTCGAATGAAGCTCTGGTGTATATATATCCATGACTGAAGAAATGATTATCTTGGGTGGAGCGGTATATATTCTTACACAAAGAAAAAATTATACCTTCTCCACAGTACAGGTGCCTTCAGCGAGACAATGAATATTTCACACTTCAGTGAAATAGATTGAGGTGGTCCTTGAGAATGAGTAGCAGCATTAAGAGCTGCAGCCTGTTGTATGCCTGAAATTTCTGAAATTGTATGCAAGCACACGAACAAATCAACATCTCAAAGGAAAATATGTCTTGATTCTGATACGCTGCAGAATCATCGGATATTGGGTCACAATATGTGAAGAAAATCATTTATAGAGGGCAATTTTTTTACGTAATATGTTTTCAACTTGATGAAACAGAATTACACTGATTCTATTACCAATCAGGATTACAAATTTTATTATAGGCCCATGAAAACTGCCAACGCAACCGTTTATAGCAAAGAAGAGTATGCTAGTATTGATTGACAAACCAAAACTGTACAGAAAAAGACACATTATAAGAAAAGGGTTGTTGTAAGTTACTGTAGCAGCCAGTGTTGGGTCTTCGTGTGCAGGGGGGGTGTCATCTTCAGACGAGTAGGCTGAAACCTGAACTTGTAAGATTCAGGTTGTCCCTTCAGAAGTAGCATCAAGATATGCAACCTGCTGTGTACCAAATAATACATTAGAAACGTATCCAACACTGCACTGAAAAAATATCACCTAAAGTGGAAAAATATATATTGCAACCTGCGGTGTACCTAGAAACTTCTGAAATCATATCGCACCACACGAAAAAAACACAAAAAGGTGAAAAATATATACTTACTCTGATATACTACAGAATCATCAGATAGCGAGTTCTGGAAGGAAAACAAACACAGAAGACAATTGTTAACATACAGACATAACTATAGATAGGGTTTTATTCAGAATCATCCATCTCAGTATCTGAACTTGAAGGAATAGACAGGTACACAATGGGGAAACCGCTGAACTTAATTATGAATTTGCAAACGTTAACACATGCTTGAAGAATTGGACAGATGAGTGTTTCATAACAGATGACAATGTATGGGAAGCTCCTTGCGCAAGTATATGACCCAACGCGACAGCTGGTGAATAACTACTCTGTCTCCACTACTCCTACCGACGATCCTGTGGCTCTTGCTTGACCGATACAAGTGAAATCCTCAGGTAGTTTGAACAGGGGCTGGTCTCCTACAAATTCACCCCGGAGAGCCTGTCCAAGGGAGTATCCCAGAGCTCGAGCAACCGGAACAGAAACTGCATTGCCAACCTGAATGTATCTGAATAAAACACGCACAGCACAGGCAAATCAGCTTCATAGAACAGTTGGAACAGAGAAGAGATTCAGAGCTACTTCTGTTTTCGTACACTAGTGTCTAGTGCCCAGTATCGTGTTGATCAACTTACTTCTCTTTTATAGGCCCAAAGAGCCTATAATAGTCTGGAAAGCCTTGGAGCCTTGCGTTTTCTCTGACAGTCAGAACACGGTGCTGGGTTGGATGCAAAATAGCCTGCAAAAATACATCCACGCTCCATCATGATAAAACGCAACCAACAAGTTATAGAATCATACGAAGAGCAGAAATTTGCCAATAGCTTACCTGGTTGTGAGGTTCAGCTCTTGTGACAACAGTTGGAACAGTTTCATCCCACCACAGGCGCCTGAATGGTCTGCGAAGCAATATGACAAGCATTATCAATGCATGTTTGACTGATAATACAAAAGGATAATCAGTATACATACTTTGATGACTTGCCCTTGATGAAGGATATGGCATAATCAGGCACCTAGCAGAGAAGCAAGGATGGTTACTACATGTGGAATATATTTACATTACAGCTGATGAAATTACTCCACAACAGATTGAAATACCAAAGGTTTCCCAGAAGACACGAGTGCTCGAGGAATATCTGGATCAAGTTCCACGGTATTCTTTGCCCCAACCCGGACACCCTTCAAATGACGAAAGTTGGCCCCCTGAAATAAAATAATTTCTAAGAAATTACAGGATATGTCAAGAAAAGAAACAGCATGAGACTAATCAGCGTTAATAGCTTGCCTTTTGCACAGGAATCTGCCGCACTCTTTCATGATCATCATTATTTAATTGTAGTGGCTGATGATCAAACAGTTTACCTTCCTTGGTTCTAGCATCTACAAATGAGTGATCCTTCATGTCTTCAGATAATTAACAGAAAAATATAACTCAGAACAGTAATATAATGAGGAAACCGTGTACAAACATAAAGATAGTGAAAACTAAGGCAAGGTGACATCATTATACCCACCCACATGATTGAAATAGAAACAAACATGACTCTGCTTATGTAAAGACAAAAGGCATAACAAATGAAAATAGACTTCACTAAAAGAGAAACTGCTTGCTGACATTAAGTTTGCACATTCAATAGGTCACACCTTTACTGCTAAGCCGGATATAGCGTTGGAACTCTGTTTTGGGGTCACTGCCATACTCCATGACATCATTAGGCTGATGGTTCTGAACCTGTAGAAAGCAATTTAATTCATACAGACATAAAAAAGTTCAAGCAGTACTCCAGAATTAAATGAACATGGGTGGAAACTGTGAATGCCAACCTTGGGTAAATCAGATATTGCATCTTCAAGGACGAGAGCTTTTTTCAAGTGTTTATTTGTTGTTTCCTCATAAGCAACGAGACATCTCTGAGAACAGAACATCATTTTTGTAGGATAAAGTAACAATCATTATAGTCTTCGAGAAGAATGATAATAAATAACATAGTGGCCTGTGATGTATTTTCGTACCGAAAATGCATTTGGGACTAGTCCTCGCTTAATGACATCATGGGTGGGAAGTGGGAACTTCGGAAGAACCTACATTGCCAGATGTACCTTCATATAGCAGCAGCGTCACAAGGTAAAAATGAGCACAGAAAGGACACAAACCATGGAAGGAAGAGCTCCCCAGATAAATGCCCGCATCCTAAACTGCGGCAGCCCATAACAACCCGCAACCATCATCCCAAGTCTTGCTTGATAGTTCATAGCAACAAGACGGCTCAATGCATAGCGGCCAAGGAACCCATCTGCAAATTTCAAGATGTCTACAACGTTCTCCATGAGAACATATTTAGGCTGCAGATATTTCACAATATCCATAAAGACAACCAACTGTTTGTTTTTGTCATCCTTCAACGGATCATCGTGCTCTCTGAATCTGTTGAATCCACTAACTCCTTGGCAGGGAGGACCCCCACAAATAACATCCACAGAACCCTTCGGAAAATACACAATTAGATACCACAAGAAAATTAGCACAAATGGAACAAGGAGGGATATAATCTTACAGGCAAAGGCAGAATGGAATCCCTATATCCACTCTGAACAAATTCTTTAAAACACTCATAGGAACCACTGAAATGCAAACAAGGATGAGGAACCATTGATGAAAAATAAAGAGAAAAATGTAATAAAAAGATGCCAACCTCAGACCATCAATTGGCTCCCATGTATCTTGACTAGCATCATATTTTTTCCACCGAACCTATTTAAATAATCCTTATCTTTAGACAAAAATCATATACTCATGTCCATGGTTGCAAGCGTAGAATAATACAAACAGGAACATAAGTGACTCTGAAATCTAAAGGAGTTGCACAGATATGTAATCAAGTCTGCAGTACCTTAAACCATAAGCCATTTTTGCCAGTCTTATTTGGATCGCCATAGCATATATCAACAAGCCTCGCTACCTCAAATACATCCTTTGGTAGAGGTTCGTTTTCATCATTTTCATCATTGTTTGACGCCTGGGCTAGATCAGAGCCCAAAGAATTGCTGCCGTGGATGACATATTTCTTACAGAGTGCATTCCACTGTTGAAGGAGGGATAGGAAATCTTCAGCCTTCTCATTTCTTACCTACAGTTAGAGGCAAAAAGCGTACAAGTCAATATCTCTGGTTGATGAAAAAGGGAATGCAACTCAGTTGCACTTTGCCAATTCTAAGGACTACCTGTGTTGAAGGGTGATTATGCTTTAGGCTCTCACAAGCATGCGAGTTCATGTCCACAGCCCATTTCTGCACAAGAGAACATTAACATTGTAAATTATAGGGCAGCCACAGTGCTACGATGTCCAAATCAAAAAACATACAGCTTCTAATTTTATGCCAGCCAATTCTGCACCAAGGCAGAGCCCTGTTGACATAGCCCCACACCCTGAATATAGATCGAGCAGACTATATGTCACAAGGTCAGCCACTGGTTTCCCCTCTTCACAAGATATATCTGAAGTTGTATCAATGTCTGCTGCACCATCATTTTCTACAACAAAATAACTCATCAAAAATCATGAGAAGAGATATCATGGTATTGCAATGTTGATGAAACATTTTTCAGTTTGCCAAATGTACTTCTGAGATGTATTAAAATCAGTACAGATCTGTACCAATTTAGTATAAGTTCAGGTCACAGTTATACACTAGCCAAATCTATTGTGTTGTTTAATTTAAATAAGTTGCTTACATGCATCACCGAGTAAGACATGTAAAGATTGCAACAAAAATAAAATACATTATAAAATAGTACCTGCTCGCATATTGGCAAATGTGGAACATGCCACCGAGTAACACATATCATAATAGAAATCAGAATTTGATATTAACCGATCTTTTGCCTGTGGTATATCCTGTAATTGTTTGACAAAACAAAAATATAAAAGATCAGCACAAACATGACAAGCCTACTTTAACTTGAAAGAAAGAACAAACCACTTACATCTGGATCAACATAAACGATGTATAATTTACAGATTATTGACTCAATCAAGTTGTCATTCTTTTCCTCTGAAAGGAAAACACGCCTATCATTATGTTGATGATCATGGACCTGAAGTAGCTTCGGTGAGATGACCTGCAAGTTAAACTGATGAACTGTTAGTTGGTACATTTTGGGATTTATTCTGAATATTGCATTATTTTCATGGTGTTAATTTAGCCCAAGAAAAGAAAGCCAGAAATTCAGGATACTGTCATGCCAAAATAAAAATGATACAGCTAAAAATATGTTAAAAATGCTATGTCAGCTGCATTATCTTGTGCACTTTATTTGTCTTAGGCACGTACTCAATTTCCTTTACAAAAGAAAACACCTTCACAATACATACCGTATCTGCCACACGGAAAAACGAACGGCATGTGAAATATAATCCATGATCTGTTCCTTCAAAAAACTCTGTAATCCGGCCCATGTAACTTTCCTCATCAGGACCAGCCTGCAGCCACTCAATAATAGCATCATTAGCAAACTTGGTTAACATAGAGAAGAACAAATGGAATATTCTGAACTATACATGCAAACGAAAGGATCCGAGACATTTCTTAAGATTCTAATTAAGTAGCACACATCAGGTTCACACATGATGTGGTACAGTGCTGAATGTTTGGAGGTTAATGGCATGCTAGAAACATAAAGGAGCATAGCATTTCCTCAGTTAATATGTTTATAACTTTATATGCAAGAAAGAGAATGGAGCAGAGCAGTTCAGCAGTTAGCAAAACAGAAATGGCAGGACGTTGTGTATATGTCGATCATCTCCATCTATACGATTCAATCAATCATGTAGGACTTAATAAACCCTCTGGGCATGAAAAGAATCTGCAGACTATCCAAGACATTTCTTAAAATTTTAAGTAGCACACATCAGGTTCACAAATAATATGGGACAGTGCTGAATGTTTGGAG